TGGTTGACACAATGGAATACCAGCCACGTAGCCATTACGCCATCTGCTGGCCTCGCCTGGTGTAAATTTTAAGTCCTTAGGTGACATAACCATTATGCCATCTGCTGGCTCCAGTTTCTTTTTAATTTTTTAAAAAGAAGGGAATGTGCACTTGCTAGAGACAGAAGCAAGAAATCACCCCCAGGGGGATGGCCACACTGCAATCCCTTCTCCTCCAGTCTCCTCTTGGGATTTTGGGCACGCACGCACACACACACACCCAGTGTGAATTTAAGCTGCCAGATCCAGGCTCGAACCACAGTAGACTATGTGGGAGTCCAGCGATGTAACCATTACACCATCTGCTGGTCCCTCATGTTTTCCATTTTTTAATTTACTTATTTCACTCAAGTCAATTAGAGTTCGTTTCTGCCACTTGCAACACAGGTGTGGGAATGGATGCTCATGCTCTTGGAGTGAGGAAGTGCAGCCTTGCCCTTCCCTCCTCTGGCCTTGCTCTCTATACACTTCCTCTCAAATTCGGGATGTGCTGCCTAAATGTCAGTGTTTAAAAAGGAAAACATAACGGAACTAGTGATATCAGGGAAAAAAGAGAAATGAAGACTTTCTACTGATAATTCAGCCTCCAGTCCACGAACCCAAGTGGTAGAAGCCCCTCAAGCCTTCTCTCTGTCTCTGTCTCTATTTCTGTCTCTCTCTGCCTTTGTCTCTGTCTTCTCATTTTTTTGTAATTTTTCCTTTTTAAAATTTTTTAAGGTGGGACCAGCAGTTAGCGTAATGGCTATGTCGCTGGACTCCCACGTAGTCGACCGCGGTTCGTGTCCCGGACCCGGTGGCTTAAACTCATGCCGGGCGCGTTTGTGTGCGTGCCCAAGATCCCGAGAGGAGAATGGAGGAGAAGGGATTGCAGCGTGGCCATCCCCCCTGGGGGGTGATTTCTCGCTTTCTGCCTCTCTGTCTCTTTCTGTCTGTCTGGTGAGCACATGTACCCTATAGCAAAAACCTCTCCCCCCAAAAAAAAAAGAAAAAAAAATTTTTAGTAGTTTTTTGGCTTTCAGTCCCTTCTTTATCTTGTTAATAATTCCCTCTCCTCCTCCCACCTAGGAGAGGCAAGGGGCAGGCCTTCAGAAGAAGACAAATGGCTCCTGAGAACCAGTGATTTCACACAAGCGCTCCGCATGGTTTTCTATATTTTGCTTTTTTAAAAAAATGTTTTTAGTTGTTGTTTTTTTTTTATTTTTTTCCTTTTTTTTCTCTGTTTCTTGGTGGTTGTTGTTGTTTCTCTCTCTGTTTCCTTTTCTTTTTCTTTTATCTCATCTCTCTGCTCCTTAATCTTCATTCTCTGTGTTTCTAGTCAGATCTAAGGGAACCTAGCCAAACATCCAAATACTATTAGGGTTAACATATTCCTCAATATCCACTGAATCTGCTGTGGGATCAAAACGGAACAGCAAAGAGATTACAGATCACCTCGCTCTGCATGCTCCTGAATGCTCAGATTGAACTTCAAGTTTAGGAAGAAACACACCATCCATCAGATGACTAGAAATCACCGCAGGGTCACAAGAAATACAGAAAAGCAAGAAAATACCTCTCCTCCAAGGGAAAAGAATAACTCCTCTTCATACACAGACAGTTCAATGGAAATCATGGAAATGTCTGATAAAGAATTTAGAATATTCATAATGGCGAAGCCAGCTGAGATGGAAGAGAAGAGAGAGACAGTGAACTGCAGAAGAGAAAGGAGAAAGGAGATGATGAGTTCCAGGAGGTGAGGAAATTCTTACAAGATCTAAAAGAGGAATTACATACTTTTAAAAAGAGTCAAATGAGGATCACCAGTTAGCGTAATGGCTATGTCACTGAACTCTCATGTAGCTGACCACGGTTCAAGTCCCAGACCTGGTGGCTTAAAACTCACAATGGGTGTGTGTGCGTGCATGCCCAAGATACCTAGAGGAGAATGGAGGAGAAGGGATTGCGACATGGCCATCCCCCCGGGGGGTGATTTCTTGCTTTCTGTATCTCTGTCTCTCTCTGTCTTTCTGGCGAGTGCACGCACCCTATAGCAAAAATCTCTCAAAAAAAAGAAGAGTCAAATGGACCTGTTAGACATGAAGGCTATAATACAGGAGGTCAAAATCTCCCTTAAAAGTATTAAAAGCAGACTAGATCATACAGAAAATAGAATCTCAGACATAGAAGAGAAATTTGCTGGCCTAGAAAAATCCACCATGAAGACTGAGAAAATGGAATAATATACAAGAAATACTAGATATCATCAAATGTCCAAACATCCAGATAATTGGTATCCCAGAAGGTGAAGATACTCATAAGGGCATTGATAATCTATTCCATGAAATCCTGCAAGAAAACTTTCCAAACCTAGAGAGGCACTCAGAGATCCAGTCCCAAGAAATACAAAAGACCCCAAATAGAATCAACCCAAGAAGATCTTCTCCAAGACACATTATAGCCAGATTGACCAAAACCACAAAGACAAGATCCTAAGATTGGCAAGAGAAAAATGGCAAGTTACCTACAAAGGATATCCCATCAGGCTAACAGCAGACCTCTCACCGGAAACAATGTGAGCAAGGAAAGAATGGGAAAATATATTCAAAGTGTTAAGGGAAAAGCAATTTCAACCAAGAATACTGTACCCGCAAGATTATCTTTCCCATGGGAAGAAAAGACAAGAACATTCTCAGATAAACAAAACCTAAAAGAATTTACCAGCACCAGACCAGATCTCCAAGAAGTTCTCAAGGGAGTGCTATGTCAGGAAAATTAAATACAGATACGCAGAAATAAGAGTTCAAAAACTAAGAAAATGGCCAACTTAATCATAGGGACAAGTCTGGAGTTGAATCTTATATCCCAGAATTCAATCAGGAAGATCGAACCACAACAGAAGATAGATTAAGTACATGAGACTGAACTGGTGAAATAGCATTTTATGACTTTTGACTAAAATATTGCTGATTTTCTTCTAGGCTTTTTTGTCCAGTCTTAAAGATTTTTGTCCTGTCTTGAGCTGTTAATAGGTTCATGTACCTACTCTTGGAACCGAATCCTAACCTGTTTCCTGGCTTTAAGTTTTAAGCAAAGTTCCTTAGCATTTCTATTAAAGTTAAAACTGCTTTTCTTGAAATTACCAGCTGACCTTGCTATTGAAAGCAGTTAGATTATTTAAGAAATTGTGTGATCAGTAAAATGTGTGTGGGGGGAAGGAATGGAAGACAACTGTAGACACCGGAGATAGTGTGGGAAGAGGGTGGGAAAGGGCAGACGGTCATAAATATACATATGAAACTAGAAATGGAAAATTATTGATGATGACATGCATGATTAAGCCACTATGCAGTATATTCTGGATGGGAAATCACATTTTGTATGCTGTGACGATGCTTAGGGAATGAATGTAAATTAACTAATTAAAAAAATGTTTCAGGAAAAAAAGACATGAAAAACTTTTTCGTGAAATTACAAAAAAAATGCATTAAAAATACCCACTTGATGACTGTGGTAAGCTATATAGCCCCAGCTAGGTGCTACTTTATAGTATGTTCATTCTACTCACTGAGGTTTATGCCTAAAGTCAGACTTGTGTTCATGGATGTGTATATATCAGCTGTGCTTGCTATTGAAAATAATTAGATTAATTAAGATCTTTAGTGAATCAACAAAATGTGGGAGGGGGATGGCATATTAAGCAACCATGAATACCAGAGACAGTGTGGGACGAGGGTGGGACATGGCAGAGGGTGAGAGAGAGGGAATCAAGGATGGGAAAAAAGCAAAATATACAGGAAACGAGAAATGGGAAATTATTTGTTGATGATAACACGTATGTTGATGTGCTTGACTGAGCCAATATACAGTGTATTCTGGATGGAAAACCTCATTTTGTATGCTATGATGAGGTACAGTGAATGAATGTAAATAAATAAATTCAAATTTAAAAAAAGGAAAACGTAATGAAAATCCAGTGTAAAGCATCTCTGGACTTGTCTTATTACTTAGAATTTAAACATTTTTTTCTCTTCTTTTTTTTTTTTGGAGAGGTTTTCACTATAGGGCGCGTGCGCTCGCCAGCCAGACAGAGAGAGACAGAGAGACAGAAAGGGAGAAATCACCCCCTGGGGGGATGGTCACGCCACAATCCCTTCTCTTCCATTCTCCTCTCGGGATCTTGGGCATGCACGCACACACGCCCAGTGTAAGTTTTAAGCCACCAGGTCCGGGACACGAACCGCGGTCGACTACGTGGGAGTCCAGTGACATAGCCATTACGCTAACTGCTGGTTCCCTTCTCTTCTTTTTAAAGCTCACTATTTCTATTTTGGCAGGCAAGTTTGGTTGGAGGGATGGGCTACAGTGTAAGAGCAGAGCTTTGTAGTAATGGGAGCTGAAGGGAAGTTTAGGTCATTCCCATAACTCTCTTTTCTTCTTCTTTTTTTATTTCTTTCTTTTTTTTTTTAGAGGCTTTTGCTATAGGGCGTGTGTGCTCGCCAGACAGAGAGACAGAGAGACAGAAAGCGAGAAATCCCCCTCCAGGGGGGATGGTCACGCCACAATCCCATCTCCTCCATTCTCCTCTTGG